AATTATAGGACCTGTTATTTTCAATGGTCAGGGGGAAAAAATCATAAAAGTTGAAACTGCAAGTCAAAATATGTAAAATTATCAAAAAGAAACTAATAAGATAGCACCATTTAGATGAGGTATTGTAGAAAACAGGAAATCATTGTAATGTCCTTGGTGAGGAACTGATATAGTAAAAGCAGTGGGTTAGGGATTGGTTCTATCTGCAGTTTGCCAAATGGAATGAAGTTGGAAAGAAATCTGAGGTAGGAGGATCAGCAAAGAGGCAGTACGTGGAATTTAAAAATAAAATTTCAACATTAACCCTGAATAAACAGAGCCTGTTGTGGAGACGGATGCCTCTGGAGATTTTAGCCTGACACCATTAGATAATTGAATCACTGAATTACTTCATATTCTCTTGTTCCAAGTCTGAGCTCTCCTGGCACTGCCTGGTCAGAACTATCTGGTCACCTCTTGTCCTGCAGTGGCCCCATGCTTGCTTGAGAGTCAAGCTGAGTCTACACTTCTTTCATTATTAACCCATCCTAATGAGTTTTTTAACAAGTTATTTAAAAAAGAGAATTATCATTAAAAGAAAATTATCTCAAGCTTATAGAAAAGCTGTTAAATAAGAATGGTTCACAGGACACCAGGTAATATAGAGTCACACCTATTGTTAAACATTCATTTCATTTCATTTGCATCTTCTTTTTCCATCTCTCTCTGCCTACCCCTCCCCCATTTTGAATCACCTGAGCAGAATGTCCGCACATCGTGGCCCTTCTCTTCTAAATACTCAATGTGTATTTCCTAAGATTCAGGATATCCTTCTGCAAAACCACAGTATCATTATTATCTTCAGTTAGTTTACTCAGTCACTGTTCCATGAATTGACCTGAACTATGGGAACACCCATTATCCTGGTCTGACTTGTCCCACGGCTAACTGAATTACAGGAGTGAAAAACCCAAAGTTTCATGTGGACTTTCAGGTTTGGGTCTTTGAGAGTACCACAGAATCCTCAGAATAGCTTCAAATTTGATTCATGGTTCAGCCTCTAAAAATCTCTTTGTTAAAGAATAATGCTGATACCAATACTGATGAACCTGGCGCTAGCATTCCTTACCACGTGTCAGGCATTGTTCTAAGCACTTTGTATTTATTAATGTATTTAATCCTTAAAGGAACATACCATGATTATCTTCGTTTTATACTTGGGGAAGTGTAGGCACAGATGTTAAATACCTTGACCACCAATACACAGCTGATAAGGAAGTAGTATCAAGTCTTGAACCCAGGCTCTCTCAGATATTCCTTTTATTTGTTAATCTGGGTATTATGTATGTATGTGTGTGCATTTAGCCCTCTTACATTTCTTAATGTCTAAAGATTATCCCACGTTATTTCTGGTTACTGATTGATTCTCATTGTCATGTCCCCCTAGGAGAGAAGCATTCATTTGCTTGATGTGTTTGTTTTCAGCTAAAGAGAAGATGACTGGGTTCATGAGACCGGAAGAATGAACTCAAAGGAGGCTGTCTACATTGGGTTCTCCCACTCAGCAGCTGTGGAGCGTCTGAGGATGAAGAGCAGGATCTTATTACTTGAACAGAGGCATGCGACGAGGTTCCCCAGCCATGAACAGCCAAGTGGATTTGCTGCAGTGGGGCAGTCTAATAAATGATTAACCAGAAGCTTTGGTAATAATCTGTCTTGCAGCAGTGTCTTCAAACTTCTCTTCTAATCTTGTGCATGTTTAGAGATTCCATTCTAGATTCCACCTAATGCCAGTACTGCTACAGTCTGCATCTGCAAGGGAATTCTCTTGGTGCAGGCTGGGTCTGTCCTCTTTGACTCTACTATTTATAGAGCTGATGTGGGTTAACAGCTATTATTTATTCAGGGCCTCTTCCAGGCCAAGCATTAGGATGAGTGCACTACATACATTTAGTCCTTACAACAGCTCTGTAAATTTGCGCCTATTATTTTCATTTTGCCCATAAGGAAATGGAGGCTCAGAGAGTTTGTGTGCTATGGTAAGATCAAAAGGTTGCCAGGGTTAGTATTCAAATCAAGGCTCCTACACTTTAACACTCTGCTTTACTCATTATTGTTTCAGAGAAAATTACTCTACAATACCATCACAGGTATTACTTCCTCTCTGAGTAAGGGTGGGGATGGTGATGCATGTATGTGGGAAGTGTCTTCAAGGGAGCATCAGTGAGACCATAGAGGTGCACAAGAATCACAGAGTGATATTCTAAACAAAATAATTCTTAACGTGCTTTTATGGCCTGAGTCAAATCCAGCCCCCAATCTATTTTTGTAAATAAAGTTTTATGGGAACACAGCCACACCCAATCCTTTATATACTGCTTATGGCTACTGTCTTCTATAGTGGCAGAGTTGCATAATTGTAACAGAGACCATGAATAAAATATTTACTATATAGCCCTTTCAGAAAAACTTTACCAATTCCCAATTTAATGATTTTGGAAGAAAGTCATCCATTTTCATTAAGACCTTTTTCTTATTTTTTCCATTTGACTGAAAACTATTTAAAAATTTATGACGTTTAGATAATCCCTATATTCTAATGGATGTGGTGGTAGTGGTGGTGGAGTGGGGGTTGTGAGCTATAAGGATCTAACTAGGGAAAGGAAGGGGCTGGGGAGGGACCTGGGCCTCCTGGTCCCCCTAAACTCTTCACCCCAGACTCCTCCCACTTGCTTCCTTCCTATTCCTCCTGCCAAATTGTGTCCTAAAATAACTTTTGGTTCATAAACATGTAAGTGGCTTCCCACATACTACTTGCTCAAATCCCAGCACCTTGGTCAGGAATTCAAAGACCATGACAGTCTGATCTCTACTAATCTCTTTTCTCAACCCCCTCTCCCCCCCTTTTCTTTTTAACCGTGAGGAAATCATGCCAAATTAATTTAAATTTAATATGTAAATTTATATATTTCAAAGCCAACTTGTCATCGATTCACTTTTATGAAAAACAGAAGAATAAATACAAATACATACTTACAGGTGTTTGTCCTAGTCTGTTTAAGCTGCTATTACATGATAACATAGACTGTGTAGTTCATAAACAACAGAAGCTTATTTCTCGAAGTTCTGGACACCTGGAAGAGCTAGATCAAAGTGCTGGCAGCAGATTCAGTGTCTGGTTAGGTCCTGCTCTCTGATTCATAGACAGTACCTTCTTATTGCATCCTCACGTGCTGGAGAGAGCCAGGGTCCTCCTGGGGCTTCCTTTCTTTCCATCCCATTCTTCAGGGCTCCACCCCCATGATCTAATCACCTCACAAAGGCTCTTAATAGCGTCATTTTGTGGGTTAGGATTTCAACAAGTGAATTTTGACATAAATATTCAGACTGTAGCAATGCTATATTTGATAACATGAAACTAAGCTTAGATTTCACACCTGATACCTGATCTTAGCCAAAAGAACAATTATGAATGTATTAATCAGTTTCTACAGATGTTGTCCATTGTATTTTTAAAAAATTCTAGCTGTTTTTAAAACTGTAATATCATGAGCTTTCTCTCATGTTGCTATGTATTTTTCATAAAGATAACTTTTTATGTCTGCAGACTTTTCCATCTCATATATGTTCTAATGTTTTCCTAACACTTCCCCAGCATTTGGCCATTGAAGGTTTCTCTCTCCATTCAATTAATTTCATCTCCTACTTTCATTCCTTGGAATTGTTCTCTCATCATTTTCTACCTCGGCTTGGAAAGGATCCTATTTCCCTTCCTGTCTGCTGCTAGGTCAAGGTGTAGCCTATGAGATGGACAGAAAGGGGCTACATTTTCTAATCATAGAATATTACACCCTGTCTACCTTGCCCTTTTAGTTCTTCCTGTCACCTTTCTGCCTCTGACTGTTTTGTCGTGGAGAAGTACAGATTGACCTTCAGAATGAGAGAGGGATTTCAAGAGGCTTAGTTTTCCAGGAAGTGCTGACATAGAACCATCTCAACCTGACATCGAAGGCAGTGCAGTATCAAAGAACACAGACACTATTATTTCCTGGTGCTATGTACTTAGGAGAGTGGTTTACTCCAGAAAATAACAATAGATATTTAACACATATTGCACATTTTCTGTATGTCTGGCATTAGTCTAAGAACTTTATATATATATATTAAGTCATTTATTCTCATAGTAATCATATCAAGTGGACACTTTTAATACTCATTTTATGAGAGAATGAGGTATGAAGAAGTTAAGAATTTGCTGAAGTCCACACAGTCAGAAAGTAGACTTGGGATTTGAATTCAAACACCCTGGCATCAGAGTCTGGGTCTCACCCAGTAAGTGCAGTGAAGCATGCACTCTGGCCCTTTATCTCCCCAGTCTCAACCAGACCTCTAACATTTTAGAGAATAGGAAAAAGGAGAGGGGCATCTGAGCAATGATCCAATAGGGAGCCTGTTTTTCTGAGTTGGAGGGATCTGGCTTCTGGCCAGCATCCTGGGTGGATTTCCTTTCATGAGGAGATTGACAGATTTAATTTACTTTATTCATGATCATCCTCTGAACATGGTGAGTCCAGAGGTGTGTCTAAGGCCTAAGTAGAATATGTTGGAAATCTCTGAGCCTCCCAGAGCTTACTCATCTCAGTGTCCCCAGTGTCTAGAAGAAACAGGCCATCATGCATGATGTTATGGCACAGTAAAATCCTAATAGCTAGGGTTTAGTGAACTGGCCTTCTCGGGCCCTTCTCCAGGAAGCAGTGGGACCTCTTCCAACGGAGTGAGGGTGAGGAGAAGAAATCTAGAGAGCCTTCCAAAGGTGAGTACAATTACATGGTCAAGTCTGAAAGGAAATAAATGATTATTGACCTGAAGTTGGAAAAATAATGGAACCTCAAGGTTCAGAAAGATGTTAAAAGTTATCTCTACCAGTTACCCTTCCAGTGCCCATACCCCCCCCCAATGACAGCTCTAAGCAAATGCCCATCCTCTGCTTGGGTACCCCGAATGATGGGAATCTCACTTACCAAGCCATTTATTCCAGTTCTGTATGAATTTCTTAGAAAGTTAGACAATTTGTTGAATGGAAATCTGTCTTCTGAACTTCCCCCAGTCGAGTGTGATTCTACCTGTGGGATGGTAGACAACACGTCATCTCTGATGTCCACACAACAGCCCTGGGGAGATTTGAAGTCAATGATTACATCTTCCCTGAGTTTTTCCTTTCAGGTTAAAGACACGCGGGTGTTTGTGTCTCTTCTCGCATGGTTTTCTGGCCCTTGGCCAATCGGGTTTGTGTCTAGTGATTGCTTCTCACTTGGCTTAGAGCTCTCCAAGTATGGAGCCAGACTACCCCATAGAGTGCCAGCCCACTTCAGGGCTGCACTGTCCTTTTCCTCCTAGGAGACCCTGTCCATAATGAGTGTCTAGGGTCAGAAATTAGTGCTCTAACTTCCCAGAGGTTCCAGGGCTTTGGAGAGAGTTTGGTCTTTCATCAGAAGAGGGCAGAAAACATAATTAGTTAGGTTTTTATGCTTGGGAAGAGAGGATCATGGCAAATTTTTTGAATCATTACTATATTCCAGAAACTGTGCTAACCACTTAACAGGGATTATTTCATTTAATCCACTCAACAACCCTTGTACGTGCTAGGGCTATGATTCCTACTTCACAACTGAAGAAAATAAGGCTTAGAGAAGCCTCAGGGTTTTCCGAGTCTGGGTAGTGTATACTAAGACCCTTGCCAGATGTTAGCAGGGAGCATGGGTAAAGATGTGGAGCTTCAAAAAGAGCAACATTTGGCTAGTGATGCTTCAGAAAAGTCAAGCATAGAAGTGAAAAGGGGAGCTGGGGTAAAACTAGATCTCCTGAGGCTCCAAAGACCCAAAGGGAGAAAGAACCACGCAAGGGTGGCATAGAAGGACACAGTGTACAGGAAGTAATGTAACTGCTACTTACTAAATGCCAACTAAGCCAAGCATAAAACATACATAAACTCCTTTAATCCTCACAACAACCCTAAAAGGGAATTATGATCACTATGTTACAGATGAGGAAATTGAGGCTTAGTGAGGATAAGAGACTCATTGGTGTCCACATAGGTGGTAAGAAACAGTGTCTGGTTTTACGTGCAGACATGTGACTCCATGCCAGTGACCCTAAACTGACATCCAAGGGGAAGACTGTTGGAGACACAGAAAGGAAGGAAATTTTTCTCCCACCAGATAGGGGATCCCAGAACTTATGAGGCAATTCAGGGCTACAGGCAATGCCTGCCTGGCACCCCTCAGAGTGACAGAGAACCTGGTCCTGGGAGGGGTTGTCAGACATTAGCAGTGACAACTATGAGGTTATCCTGACTTGGAGTTTCCTTAGAAAGAGGTTCATGGGGCCCAGAAGCCTCATTCAGAAAAATATGGCTAGAAATGCTAAATCAGAATCAGAAAACTAAGGTTTTTTTGGGGAGTGGGTGGGTACTGGGGATTGAACTCCGGGCACTTGACCACTGAGCCACATCTCCAGCCCAATTTTTTATTTTTTATTTTCCTTAGAGACAGGGTTTCACTGAGTTGCTTAGTGCTGAAGCTGGCTTTGAACTCATGATCCTCCTATCTCAGCCTCCGGAGCCACTGGGATTAGAGGCATGTGCCACTGAGCCTGGAGCAAACTAAGTATTGAAACAACATCTGTTTTTATTCCCCTGTAGTTTCTTTTTCCGTTTTTTTTTTTTAAGCAATTTTACTTCTCTTAATTTAATAGTTTGCAAGCATTGGTGTGCATCAGAATCACCTGGAAGACTTGTTAAAAACAGAGTTTTTAGTTCAGAGTTTCTAGTTCAGTTAGGGAAGAAATCTGAGAATTTGCACTTTGAAGTTAGCAAGTAATGCTGAGGCAGCTGCTACAGGAAACCCATTTAAGAGCTAGTACTTTAGTGGTAAAACTGTTTTTGAAAATTTTTATCTTGAAATGGTGAGTGCAGAAAAAGTAAAGGATTTGCCTATAAGCCAGAGACACTGAGAGTGGGTTGGGGTACAGAGTTCACCAATCTTCATGAATGATTACGGTGAGAGAACCTATATGAACTGGGGAAGAAAGAAGTCACAGCCAGAAGGAAATAGCTGTTCCCGAATGGGAACAAGGGGAAGTAAGGGAGCCAGGATGAGTTTGGCAGTGGAACCAGACCAAAAGAGCCATAAATCTGGTGTGGGCAGAAGTCACTTAGGGTAAAGCAATTGTTGAAATCTGCAGACTCCTGGCTGGGCTGCAGAAGAGAACCGGAGGAGCTGGAGGCAAGGAGCCAGGAGTGAGCTCCTAGAGGATGAGCCTGTGACAGAGTCTGGCGATCACATTTCAGCTGCGACTCACTGTCTCCCAAAGCCTCTCTCTTCCTCCTCCTGTGGTGGTGTCCATCAGTCATAAAGTGCCCAAGATTTGCCCTTTAATAGGACTGAGGTGAAACCCTGGCATCTGAAGAAGAAAGAATGGCATGGAATGCTCTTTCCTTCTCTTTGTGGGAGTCCAGGTGGCAAGCAAGGGCAGCACTGGGAACCATACAGTCAGTCTGGTGGTTTGACCTCTGATGCTCTTCATTTCCCAGTCTACATTTCTCTCTTGTAGGGAACTGACTCAGCCTCAGTGCACAGAGCATGGTGTGAAGATTAGTCTTTGCCACTGCAGCAATAGGTGAGTGGCTGGGCACCTGGCTGCTCTCACTGCTCCTCGTGGAATTGGAAAGATTTGGTTAGAAGCTTCACTTCCCTTGGTACCAAGACGGGTGGGGGCATCTCTCTGCAGGACTGTATGCCACTTCTGCTTTCAGCTGACAGGAACAAAATTGTTCAGAGGCCCTTCCTGGATCCAGGCTTTCCAATTATTACCCATCTAGTCTGAACCAAACTCTTGTTTTCCTGTTTGTGCCCTTCATCCCATTTCTTGTACATCTCAATGCAGATTTAAAAAGAATTTGTGGGAAGTCATTCTTGCACGTGATTGGGCACCTCCTGGATTGGGTGTGAGACGCTCTGGCTAAACTGTGTGGGAGCTTTCCCCACCATCTCCAGGTGCCAGAGCCTGTCCGCATGGGGGTGTGACTGACCACTGACCCTGAGGCCAATCACTGACTCTGACCTTGGAATGCTGCCCCCCTCGACCTTCATTGGATGGAATTTTCCCCTGAATTTCTTGTTTCCCAATAAAAGGCCACTCCCTGGCGTGCTCTCTCTCTCTCTCATGCTAGCCCTGAGTAAGCCTTGCTGCCCTACTGGGTGGTTTGAGGTGTGAGCCAGAGAGGTGAGAGCTGTCTCGGACCTGGTCATAGAAAAAGGTAATTGAGTCTGTGTGTTTATTTTGATCTCACTAGTTAACTTTTATGCCACGAACCTTTTTAATGAAACCAGTGCGCTGGTTGCATGGTGGAAAGAATTAATTGAGGAGCTGGGGTTGTGGCTCAGCCTAGAGAGCTTGCCTACCATGTGTGAGGCACTGGCTTCGACTCTAAGTACCACAAATAAATAAATAAAATAAATGTCCATTGACAACTAAAAATTATTTTTTAAGAAAGATTTTATTGAGTGCAGACTGTATGGCAGGCCCTGTGCTGAGGATACAGATATGGGTAAAAGAAGATTCGGCCCTCAAGAAAATCACAGTAGAGTTGGGGAGACTCATAGGTAGACATTTAGAGCACTGTAGAATAAATAGTTCCTCATACCCTCTCTCCGGCTTTTGTATCTGCTGTTGCTTCCCACTAGAATGCCCTTCCCCCGACTCTTGCATTACTCATCCTCCCACTTACTCAGGTCACTACTGAGAGAAGCCTTCCCTGACCTCCCTATGGGAAACTGAACCCTCCCAATTCTTAAATCCTTTACTCCATGTAATTTTTCTATTTATCACTTATAATATCATTCATACGTTAATTCTTTTTGTCAGTCTTCCACACAAAGATTGTAAGTTAATAGGAGCTGGACCTGAATTCTAGACTGAATTCTCAGTTTGCAAAACTGGTACACAACAGGTACTCGATACTTACTTCTCTTTAATGTATTCGTAAGTGATTGCCCAGTTCAACTTTTGAGCATCTCAAGTCATCTAAAAGGAGGATGAGATCTCCTTGGGGAGAAACATTTTCAAGCTTACCTGCATTGCCCCCTCAGGACGGACTGAGCAGGTTCTAACTCCCTACCAATAACAAATGTATTTTACTCAGCACAAGCTATACAACGCACTTCATATACATTATCATCAATATTAAATGCAATATTCAATCCTCATAATCCTCAGTGCAGCCTCTTTTATTTTACAGAAATTCAAACAGGCTCAGGGACAGTGACTTGCTAAAGATCATTCTCGTAGCAAGGAGCTGGTGGAGACAGGCTCTCTATGAAAGTTCTACTTGGCTCCCCAGCCCCTTATTAGTCCCATACCCACATTTCTGCTGCATCCCCCTCCTAGCCCCTTTCCTCTCACTGGACAGCTGGGCCTGGTTAGCCCGGAGGTCTCTCCCAGGCTTGTTAGTGTGGGGAGATGCTTCAGATGCGCGTGGAATGTAGAGTGGACTGATAAATCTCCGGGACAGGGCTTTCCCTCCTGAGGGCCCGGCTTCTGGATGCCCAGTGGCCCATGGCAAGGCCTGCAGAACTCGCGCTCGCGGAATTAAAGGGATGGGGGAAGGGAGGAGAGGCTGCAGACGTGCTCCTGAGGGCGGACGCACCCCTCTCCCTGCGGCGCAGACCCCAGGCACCTGAACTCCGGCGGCCGGCCGTAGCGCGCAGGCGCGAGCACTCCTCCCCCCCCCCCCCTCCTGCGGGCCGCCCTTTCACCCTGGCAACCGCTGCGCGGCGACGCGCGCGCGCTGGCTGGGCGCGGACGGGCGGGGCCGGGCGGCGCCGGTGCGGGCCGAGGCGGCTGCGGCGGCGGCGGATAGCGGTCACGGCGTGGCCGGCCTTCTCCGCCTCCTCGCGCAGTTCCTGTGGCCGGCTCGAGCCAGCAGGCTTACTCCTCGCCATGGACTCCCAGAAGGTAAACCGGGAGAGGAGCGCGGGGCCTCCGAGGCGGGGCGGGCCGGGCCGGCGATGGGTGGGCGGGGCGCTCTGGGCCCGGTGGGTGGTGGGCGCCGGCGCTCGGGGCTTCTGCGGCTGAAGGCGAGGCCGCTGGGCCTCGGTCCTGGACGCGATCTAACCGCGCTCGCGGGGATGCAGGAGCCGCGCCCAGTGACCCCGGCTGGCCTCTTGATTCTCGAGAAGACGCCAGGAGCGGTCTCTATCTTTCAATCACTTTCTGCAGCGCTCGGCCCCTTTTATTCCTGCCAGCGTGCTAGGGAGAATGTTTCCCGCCCCAGCAGATGTGGAAACCGAGGCACAGCCTGATTTGGGGGGGGTCTCCCTGCTGACGCCGAGCTAATGCTCTTTCTTCGAACAAGTCCCCTTTTTTGGCACAATGCAAGCTCTTTAGGTCAGGGACCCAGACTCCTTTGTACCCCTCCCCTCCCCTCCCCGTGACTTGTTCATAAGCAGGTCACTGTTTGTTAATTGAGGGAAAAGACAGTTGTCAGGGTAGCCGCCCCACCCTCGTTGACCAATTGGTGTTGCTTGTCACAGTTACCTAGTTGTGGTTGTGGAATGTTTCATACTTTCAGAGTAAGTTGAGAAAAAGCATATATAGAACTAGCCTTTTGACTTAAGTAAAAATGTTTAAACAACATAGCCAACATATGTCAAATGACAACTGAAAGTGAGTTTTTTAACATTTCGTCATAATCCTTGTATAGAAATTAACTGCCTGTTTCTCTTTGTTACAGTGTAATTGAAATATAGTACAGTATAGGAAAGAAAAACAAGCATTATCAATAATGCGGCAGGGAAAAACAAGGACATATTTTAGAGACCATTCTTTTCTATTATTAGGTAGAAAACACGGGAAAAACTTACTAGAACAACTTTCTATGATTTTGCATGATTTCACCTTCTTGAGAGTGGGGGGGCATGAGAGAATAGTGCCATGTGTTAAGCATTAACTGTTATAGTAGCTAACAGATGTGTATGTTAACAAATGTGTTCATTATATGCATTTGTCTTGAAACCCAGTTGGATGTATTCAATTATTATTTCCAAGGATATTAGTAATTTTAAAAATTCCATATTATGTGTTTTGAATATGTATAAGTTTAAAACATTATCTCTGCCTAAATTTGTAAAATATCTCACAGCTTATTAGATAAAAGTCATATGATACTTGAGTGGACAGTAGCAGAGGTCAAATAGAAGAGTAAAGACTTGGGAAGTTCAGAGAATTGGGTTCCAGGGCACTATTTACTGACTGTGATATGGAGCAAGTCATGCACTGGTGATTAATTTATTTTCTCATCTATTCTGTAAAAATAAAAGTATTTCATAGTGTTATTGTAAAAATTTGATAAAATAATCCCTTAAGAAACACACAGCATTTTAAAGTTTATGAAGAATTAGTCCTGAAAAATTCCATTTTTGTAGGAAAAAAATTGTTTTAATGTGGATCATCTTAATTATCAAGGAATGTATATTCCTTTTGAGGAATCAAAAGTTGGAGGTTATGACTCTTGCTAGGTCATGCTGCATGTTGATAAGTTATTTTGAACCTATCTGTTGTCATTTCAGATTTATGTATTTATTTACTTTTTGGTGTACCTAGAGGGTACCATGTGCAGTTTCTCAGAGATGGCAAAGAATTAGCTGTTTTTTTTTAAATTACTATTGGTACTGATATGCCTTATTGAGGATAACTTTGAGAATCACTTCTCAATATTAGAAAATATGTTAAATTTCATTGGTAGCATCAAGAGAATTTTTCTAATCTAAAAACACCCTGTTGTTTTATAGGTCACAAAGAGTATCTGGTATTCATGCTTGTGAACCATTAAATTGTTGAATTTAAGCTTCCTTTTCTCATAAACTACTGCAGAATCAATTACTTGCCTCAAATAGTAATGAACTAAACTGATTATTTTTTTTTGTCTTTAAATGAGACAGCAGTACACCCCAGCATGAGTTTAAGAGACTATTTCCTGTTATAAAATGTTTTTACAGTAGCAGTAATAGTACCTCATACTAATAGCAGTTAGTATGAGGAAAATGGGTGCTGCAAGTGGCAAAGGAAGAGGATGCCCTGGATATATACCTGTTCATTGTAAGGTGTTGGGACTTAAGAAGATGACTCCGGAATCAGGTTTTTAGTGGTGCCTTTTATGGGCTATGTTAGCTTAGGTAATTTGCTCTTTGTTTCCATTTCCTCATCTATAAAAATTGAGATAACAATTTTATACTTAATCCTCAAAGGGTTATTTAAGGATTGTGTTCATTTTTTAAAACCTCTTAGTGCCTAGCATAAATTAATACTGTTAGCTATTGTTATTAATTTTATAATCCCAACCTCAAAATAACTTTGTTCTTTTCTGATTCAGTTTATACATCTTTAAAGCATGTTTTCTGTTTTTTGTATTTGTAAGAAATTATTTGGTGGTGCAAAAGAAGGGTTGTTAAATCCTAATTGAAAGAGGATTGGAAGTTCTGCCTCGTGTAATCTGACAATAAAGGTTAAGTTAACTGGACAGTCTTATAGAAGCTTGATGATGGCTAGTCAGCAAATGGATTAGCTTGACCAGCTGCTTTTTTGTCTGTGAAAATGACTTGGCCTTCAGTGTTTTGTTAGCAACAGATGCTCTGAATGAGAGGAGGAAGAAAACGTAATTGCCTTGGGTATGTAAGGCATACTGTTGGATATAGAAAACCACAGTATTATTTCCCAGAAATAAACAAAGGGATTCTGTTTATATTGAGTTTCTGGGGCACTTTTGTGAACAGGATGTGTTATGGATAGGTGGCTTTGTTTGATGATCAAACCTTTTGATTATGTCTGTAAGAGGTTTTAAGATAAAATCCCAAAGGTTTCTTTACCCAAAGAAATGTGCATGTTCAAAGGAAACATTGAAACAAGACATTTGCACCTTTCTAAAACCTTGGAAATTGTAATTCAATAGTTTAAGTTAAATTTTTATGTAGATCACTCATATTCATAGGAATCATTGTTTCTAGGAAAGATACTTTAGGAATAACTGAAAAGGGTAGAAAGGATAGGGAAAGAGATCCTAGAGGAAGTAAGTTACCAAGAGCATACATTGTCATTTAGTTGTGCCAACTTTTTGTCTGTGTATTCTTAGCTTCCTGCTCCGAAAAGGATAATGACAGGTGAGGCTTTACTGTATAAGACTGGACAAAGCAGTGAGGAGGTGTGGTGCATGCCTGAAATCCCAGTGACTCTGGAGGCTCAGACAGGAGGATTGCAAGCTCAAGGCCAGCATCAACAACTTAGTGTGACACCCTGTCTCTAAATAAATAGGATTATATATTATAGCTCAGAGGTAAAGTACCCCTGGGTTAAATCCCTGGTACAAAAATAAAAACCTGGACAAACCTAGACTGGGAGTTTGAATTAAGCAGAAATTTTAAAGCCCAACAATCTGCAGCAAGTAGCATATGTACACTTGCCTTCTATATCCCAGTTTTCTCTTCTATCCTGATTTTTTATTTATTTTTTTGCCTTCACATTGTACCATAGCAATTCAGACATTCTCTCCAATCCAGATAATTAACCAGCCATACTATATTCCAGATACCTCTCAGTAAAAAAAAAAAAAAAGTTTCCTGAGGAAAAGGAGGGGAAAATTTTTTGAGTATTGTTTTATATCCAGTATTGTGGTAAACTGCTTTAAACTCTCACAATAGCTCTTGTTTCTATTGCACAGATATGGAAAAATGAAGCTTAGAGAAAACAGCTAGCAAGTGGTATTTGGGTTCAAACCAGATCATTTTTCACAGCCCAAGCTTTTTCATTACTACCCTTGCTTGAACTCTTTGCTTTTAAATGCTGGTAGGATTAATTAAAACTGCTAAAATGTTAGCAGGGATAAACTTGTACAAAGTAGTTGTTTTGTTTTCTAAGCTAGTTTAAGTCTAGTGAAAAATAGTTGGTAGGTGATATGGAATGTTATTTAAATTGAAACCAGGAATTTGGTCCTATTTGCTGCCCCATATAAGATCCCTAGTTTTTCTGTAATGTATATCTATCTTCCTTCTCTGTAGCTCTTTCTTTTTTGAGGGTTGGTCTTAGCTTTCTAAAGCTGAATTGGGCAGTTTTTAAAATGAAATAGGGAACAGAATTTTTTTTTCTTTTTGTAGTTTTAACACAATGCTTTTTTTCAATGCTTGGCTGAATGTAAGCAGGATTATTCATGCAGCAAACACATATTGAATGTTTGCCATAGTGATGGATATTCTACTCTGACCTAGGGTAGACACTGTTGTGAAGTTGGTGCATTTGTATCCAGCCTTCTTTTGTATGTTTTCACTCTCAGCATTTATTTCCAGTCTCAAGATTCTGATAGAATCTGAGTTTTTGATGTTTATTAACTGACAGTTAATTATATCTTGAATTTGTAAAAAAAAAAAAAAAAAAAAGTGTTAGCACAGCCAGTGTTTGCTATTCTGTTCCATTATAAATACTAAATGTTTATTGTAGGAAAATGGGAGATAGAGATAAATTAAAGTAGAAATCACCCATAATTCTGCCATCCAGAGATAATTACATTCAACATTTGTATTACAATCCAGTCTTTTTGTATGCATATAGAAATTTAAAAATTATAGCATCATAATGCATATTGCTTAACAACTTGCCTTTGACATTTCACAAACGTTTTTCCATATTAATACCATTGTACAACACTTTCGGTGATTCAGCAGAATTTGTGTGGATGTATTACTAGATTTTATTTAATCATCACCCTTGTATATTGATCTCAACCTTTTTTTTTATTTGTTTTAATTAGTTACACATGACAGTACAATGACCTTGACACATCATACATTTGAATCAGATGGGATATAATTTCTCATTTTTCTGAGTGTACAGGTTGCAGAATCATATTGGTCATGCAGTCACATATATACACACAGTAATAATAATGTCTATTTCATTCTACTGTCCTT